TGTACACTCTGACGACCAATAGATTGACGTTGACTTTTTTGGGCCAACACATTCAATGACCGATAGGTGGCTTGGGTTCTGTTATACTTGGTTCTTCAAAATCAAGTCTCCTGCGATTCGGCGCTGTTGAGTGAGTGAAATATAAGTCTAATGATTATAATTGCAATGCTACTTAGTCAGCGGTGTTCGAACACCCACAATGTACTTTTATCCTTTTCCCCTAATGGTCAAGTCTCTGCACCCTGTAGCAGAACTGATTGAACTGCTGTAGTATATACTCGACCCTTCATAGATGTCCCGACGGCACCACAGATACCTGGAGTTGGTAAATGCCGATCAAGCCTTCTGTATGCGAGCTGACACTTCATCCGTGATCCGTTCACCGGTTGAAATACAGCTACTCAGATAACAAAATGTGTCTAGTTCTTCTTCGCTTCCACAGTTAGTGAGGTTGGCAGCAACATTTCACGCTTTGAAGGTGAAAACGCATACCGAACATGACTATTCTGGCACCCAAACTTACCTGAATCATCACTTAGCAGCACAATCTCATCTGCGTACTCCAGATCAGGTAGTTCGTCATCTGGGCAAAAATAGATGTCGCTATCGTCACAAGGAAATCAAATCTACGACAGTTAAATATAAACGGAGAGAGAGGGTAACCCTGATAAACACCACTTACTGTCGTGAACGCGGGTAAAAATATCCCTAAAGGTTGGACTCGGCTTCGGGTGTTGGCACAACGGGACTGCAAAATTGAAATAAACTTCGCAGCTACATCGTTCAGAGAAGCAGCGCCAGAGTTTAGAGCGGCCGACTGAATCGAAGGCCGCTTTCAGGTCGAGGAAGATAGAAATGGTACGTTTGTGAAACTAGTGTTTTCTAAAATTTGACGAAGGGTGAAATTGTGGTTTATGCAACCTCCTCCAAGTCTAAAACCGGCCTGGTTACAAGCGGCTGAGTATAACACTAGTGAGAAGCTTAGAAACGATGTTGATTAAACTAATTTCCCTGTTCCGCGAGAGAATCTTTAACCTTCCTTCTAACTCGGTATCTTGACTGATTCACACCATTCTGTTGGAACTTGTTCCCTCTCCCACACTGTTCTCGTGAGTTTTGTTAACTCCGAAACCAAGACTAACCCTACATCTTTGAAAACCAATGGGGACAGCCTGTACTTCTAATTAATCAAACATTTGCGACGTTGGCGGATAGCTGCAGTCTTCTCCATAACTTTACACTTCCCTATCCACCACTACTCGCTATCATTCCTCAGGCTCTTGACGAGCTGGCTTTTAAGGTAATTAGGAGCTGTCATGTATGGCGTCTTGAGGAAGGGTCCTGCGGGAGTCCAGTAGGGCAGCCGAAGTCGACGAGATTCATCGTTTATGCTTTGAGCCTGCCGTTGATTTTATTGATGTGCGCATAACTTCCTTGATTTGTTCCCAATGTCCATTAGGTCCTTCGGCTAATGGTTTAGCTGAAGGACTATCGGAGAGTTCCGCTTCGAAGGTCGATTTGCAATTATTGCTGATATGGAATGTTCGAAATGGGGTGGGCCTACGTCGGCGACTAACCTGGTGGATATATACGCAGGCTCCCGCTTTGAGCCAAAACGAATTATTCAAAAGATAGTGAAAAGACTAAGATTCTGTAAATTTTAAAGTGATGAAGATCTGGGTTCTGGTTAGGGAGAGGGAAATCAGCTGGAAATAATGATTGGAAAATTTGGTGTACAGAATCGGTGTTACCGATCGAACCGCAAATGTTTCCAAACGAGATACGTGAGTAAATGTGATCAGTTTGAGAGTAATCGCGGATCGATAGTGTGATGAACTTACACATAGAATAATAACCAGTAGCCTGTTCGAGAACTGTGGGATGATGGACGGCATAAAACACTTATGAACAGGCAGTGATACTGCTCCGGAGAACGGGAAAACTACTTTCGAATTACAACTATCAATCACGGAATAGGGTAAATGTTTCATTCATTTGGACTTTCGGAATTAGATAAAGTCTGTATCATCATGGACGTCTTCAAGTAATATCAATAAAGATATCCTTGTACTGTGCTTCACAAGTCATCCTGAACCCACTAACTATTTTGAGGGAGATTACTTCGACTGGGACTTGCTGTTGGTTTGAAGCTGCTTTCCTTGATAATTGATATCTATATATCACATTTTCACTCATGTCCGAATCCAGACTGTGTGCCAAACAAATCACGGTACAGTAATCTTTATGAAAAAGAAAGACGTTCCATGATTTGCATGTGGGTGGAATCCTGCCAGGTTGCCCAGGCCAAGGCAGTGAATTTTCTTGAGGAATCCACAACCAGAGTCTTTCGCTAACCATAGCTCGACCCGCAATGCAGCAGTGTGCGAAAACCGCAGTCCATTGGGGGCCGGTGTCCAGTTCATGGGATCATACGCCCTTTGGATGTGGTCAAACGTCCGAGGTGCCTAATACACCTCGATACGCCTCTTGGTTGCTTTGGAATCAGGGTTTGTGACCAACTCCCGTAGGTGAACTGCCAGTGGTTCACCAAACCGGTTATAGCCCCGGATATCGGCTTTTTGTCCTCTCACCTTGGTGGGAAAACACCTCAGCCACGAGAAGGTAGTGAGTAGGACTTCCTCAGCAGAGGCTATTTGAGACGCTTGGTCGTATGGGAGCATTTCGCTAGGTGCAAGGGAAGAGTGACCAGCCACAGCCCTAGACAACCACCCCCAACCATACTGAGGCTTTTGGTGTAGTTGATATCTCATACCAAGTTGTCCCGATAATGCTAGATGGTGATCTGATTTGTTGTGACAGAAATCACCAACAGTCACACAGACGAAATCCATATCTAGCTGTCACTGATAAAGCGCTTTGGTCAATTATTGATTTTACTCAGTACTGAGGTTGTTACCGTCAGCTTTGAATCATTGAGTAGATCCGTTTTACCCCTACCTCTCTCAATATCTTCTCTCTCGCCCCTGTGCTGGTTGTTTTGTTTCTACCCCCATTCCTTCCCATATTACAGTTTCCCGCTTGCGTGGCTTGTACGTCGAAGTGTGATTGCACTCGGTCTACCGGAAGCGATTCACACAGTCTGTCGTTTGCTACTCAAACGATTGCGAGTGCTCCTATCCCATGCTGCTGATTTGCCAACCGGACCATTGCTGGTCACTTCCATACCTTGGTCTCGAGTACTTCGAATTGAAGTGACTGCCATGGCTGTGGTCGTGATTGCTCTAAGATTGCTATTCAAATTTGACGATCTAACCGAGGTACGTTGTTTTTGTTGTGGTGGTGGTGCAGCAAAGCGTTTCTGTGAAAACCCGTGCAAGCTAGTCACTAAGTAGGGTCACCACCGTGTTGGGAGCAAGATAGTGCACACCACAACGAGTACTACCACATCGGAAATAAACTGTCCGTGTCAACTTCGATAACCTGGGTTTGTGCGCTAGGAAGACGTTCATTGACTGAAATCTTAGATCATCAATGTTTGTGTAGTTTGACTCAGGCAGAATAAAGTCAACGGGTTACAAACATTGGGTAAATCGATGAGTATTTGGGAACGATTCTGTAGAAAATTCATTATCATACCGGTCAGACAGATAGGGACGGTTGGCTGGTTAGGGCACGTTTTGCGCCTGTCTAGCCTTCGTCTACCTCACCGCACCTTTGTATTGCATTGCTTGTAGCTACCGCTCCGCAGTGGAGGAGACCATGCGGGAGTCGACAGATGACATGAGGGTGACAACAGTAGCGTGCTTGTCATTTCTTATCATGCCGGAATGCTTGAAAATGTGTTCATGCTCAGCTGGATTGTGTACTATGTTTGCTCACTATAGAGGCTAATTTTTGTTTTCCGTTCCTCAAAACCGGCGCACGCCCCAACTACCTTGCACATTCGTGCTTACTTTGTATGGATTACGAGCTTTTTATCACAAAAAATGATTTACTACAAACGAGGTAGACTCCATAGTCAAGACCGTACTGTAAGAAGCAAGAAGGTATGTGGAGGAATATTCAGCTGCGAACCGATTTGTTAATCCTCTTTTTGAAAAGACAAGGCTATATGTGGTTGGAAGTATGGAGATACGAAGTGTTCTACAATTTCACAGAGCTGGGTGAAAAGAGCATTGGAAGATAGAAGTCCAACATCTGGGGTAGAAACCTAATATTGATAAGTTCTCGCCTGTGAACGGTTTGGATGAGAAGAGGACTTGGGGAGGAGAACCGTTGAAGCGAGTTCAAAACAACGGAAATCAAAATAGTAAATATGCGAAAGAGATAAGGAATCGTCGATGGGAAAGCGACTGCAGATTTGAAGTTAAAGACGGCCCGTTGATCAGTCTACTTCGAACACAGTCGAGAGGCTGAACAGTGAAGTACGAAGCTCCAACCCTTACGTGTTTGTAGTATTCGAGCATCGAGTGGATTTGACTTTTGTCTAAAAGGAGAAGATGCTTGGGTGAAGAGAAGCACTCGGTATGGAATAGGAAGCCGACTTTTAACGTAGCGCGAGAGGCGAGCGTGGATATAAAGGAGACTAGCAGAGAGAACAGTTTGTGTAACAATAAAGAGCATATATGAGCGAACGGGTAGAAGCTGAATACCACCACTCCACAAACACTGAAGATATCACCGCGTCTGGTGATGAAACGTTTACAGACAAATTGCGAAGCCCGGCAATTCAGGCGAAAATGGATTCACTCCACTGGAACTACAAGAACCGATTTTCAATAATGTTTCCACAGTCAACTGTGTCCCGAAAGTAAACCGAGTAAATGTAGGTAGAGGGGTTCATACTCTTCATCTTGCCGTCTGGATCGTTCATTTCGTCGAGCATGTGGACGTTTCCAATAGATGGAAATCCTCATCAGGTCTATCATTTTAGGGCAGTTCGATATCAGGCTGCAGTTAGTTCCTCTTGTGGACCGTTTCTCAAGTTTAGAATACGGAGTTCCATAAATAGTCCAGTGACTAGGATCTACCTAATACGATCTGGTTTTTAATATAAACGGATCACGGATTCATATATGGTGGGTGCTTTTGATGACAATCAAAACAATATCATTGTTGAGGTTTCCTCGTTTCTTGTCCATTCCATCAAACTTTAATTATTCTACTTTTCTCATCAGTATCGTCTCGCTTGTGTTGCCGAAGCACTTGCAGAACCCGTGGGTGATTCTGGCACGTCTCCGTCACACGATCCCCGTCCTTTGCCATTTGACTGGACCGCCTGGGCAGCCTACGCGGAACGCCGATTTCGTCAGTCTTCGTCTGGTGTGCCGGATACACGCACCGATTTGATCGCATGTGAACCGGAAACCCTGTTGCGATGCAATACAGTGCGCGGGTCGGATTTGTCTTTGGTGGATTCGGTGAAAGATTTTCTCGGTCCATACGAATTTCAATTGGGTAAATCCATCGGCTGGGGCGAGTCGGTGATGTATGCGCGTAAACATGGTCAAGTGAGTTAAAACCATCTTCCTCTCTCTCTCTCTCTCTCTTTCTCCTTAACCGTTTAATCAACTGATCCAAGATTCAAACTCGGCTACAGACAAGCAACTGTGGTATATATATATATATATTTATTTATCACCGGCTTGTAGACAAGCATGGTGCCAACACAACAACAATAACTACAATAACAATGAGAGGGGACAGGTGGATTTGAGTACAGAATAGAGTGAAAAGGGGGTGAAACAGTTAAACACGGGAAAATGGAAGATACCTGGTTTAACAAAAGATTTTTATTTGTTTCACCGTACACCTTTTGATATTTTTTTGTGTTGTTTGTTGTTTTTCTTTACGGGGCATGGGATTTCGACAGGCAGACCGTACAGCCTTCGCGCCACTGACTTCTATTCTGGGCCATATCTCTCAACGTCTCTGACCAACGACAATCCTCATTCCTTGGGCCCCACTCTGGAAGGCGGACTGCACCAATCGCGACCAACGCTGAGGCCAGCTTCTTCATGCCTGTAGTCCATGTCATGGTCTGACCGCCGCGCCGCTTCTTCCAGCCTTGCCCAGCACGTGCGAAGAGAGCACGGAAAGGTAGTCTATGGACAGGCATACGCAATACGTGGCCAAGCCATCGAAGGCGGTGTAGAGCGATTACTTCTGCTAGAGAGCGACTATCCACACCCAACACACGACGACGAACCTCGTCATTACTCATCCGGTGTTACCACCAGACACGGGCAATGCTTCGGAGACATTGGTGGTCGAATACAGAAAGTCGATTAGCATCCTCAACACGCAGGGGCCAGATCTCGCAACTGTAAGGCAGAACGCTGCGAACTGCGGCGATGTACACCCTGCCCTTACGGAACAATCGGATGTCATGGCGGCGCCACAGGTGTCGCAGGTTGGCGAAAGCTACTCTAGATTTCGCTATTCGTGATGTGATCTCATCCCCGAAACCACCACCGGCTGCGATCAAGCTCCCGAAGTACTTAAAACTCTCAACTACTTCAACCTGATCGCTACAGAGGGCGAGTGTAGACACAGGCTCCTACCAGCCGTGAACACGCACTTGGAAGGTACAAAGGACATACCATACCTGGATGCCTCTATTGCAAAGCGGTTCAAAGCGCGTTGGACTGCCTGTGCGTTGTCACCCAGCAAAGCGATGTCATTGGCATATTATTAGTCGAGGACTCTGTTCCATGGGAGGAGTTCGACTCCACCGTTTCCTAAAGCGGACAAAGCGTCCTGCAGGACATCATCTATGGTG